GACCGGTGTAGCTTTTTTTTTTTCTTACGTGAGATGCGTGAAATGATGATTGTGAGACAGTCGGTCAACGATTCACGCCAGTAGAAAGATAGAGTTTGAGAAAGAGACAGAGACAGAAAGAAATATACAGAGTAACAAGTACAGTGGCTACGGTATACATCGAAACACTCCGTTACGTAATACGATAATCATGTAGATGGAAGCGGGGAGGAAAGGGTGGTGGTGATGATGGTGGCTCGGAAGAGCTTCTTGGGTGGGTGAAGAATTTCCTTACCTCCTCAGAAAGCTAGAATATTGGGGCACCACGTTTAATAATGCTTCGCTCACCACGAAGGCCGTCCAACTCCGCCGTCCCTCTTCTGAACGAAACGTCCGTCCGTTTTATGCCCTTATACCTTAGATGTCCCGGAATCTACGATCTTAATTATAATGACAGACTCCTCGAAGAATTCGGAGTTGATTTTTCAATGGGGAAAATTTCAGAGAAAGGATATATCTTTATATTTCTTTATTATTTATCAGCGATCACTTAATAATTAAATCTGTAATTATAATATTGAAAGTTGATTAAGTTTGCTTGAATTTATCACACAAACATTAAAAATTTACTTACAAAAGAATTTTTATTAACATTATATTTATTTAATTTATTTAAATAGAGGAAAAATCAGCCTCGAATTAGTCAACGAATCTGTTGTTAAAATTAAGATCGAAGCTTTTGGGATACGCCCATATTATAATTCAAAACGTACGTTTCAATTAATATAGTAGATTGATGTTAAACCGATTGTTTTATTTCAATTCAATTTTTAAAATAATATTTAAGATTATTGGAAAATTTATTCTAGATTATAATATTAAGTCATTCGATTGTCAGAAGAGTTCTGCGGAATTGGGGACTGCCATCCATTGCTGACTTATCGCTAACTTAGCTCTATCTTAAATGTTAGTTATACCTTAAGCTCTATCGGGCAAAAGATAACATTTGTTTTATCTATAAGTCGTGCGATTGAATTATTTTACCTTTTTGTTAGTCACATAATAAAAACAAGTTTGCAAAAAAACAACTGATAATAATCTAATCTTAATTTCGTTATTAATCAATGTCTCAATCATCGACGCATTCATGAAATGATAAAAAAATTTTTATACAGCAGGGCCTATCTTACATTTAAGCATGTTAAATATGTATTTAGAAATTGTAACCATGTAAATAAAATGATAGTATCAATAATGATTATAACAATAATGTTTCATCTTGAATTTAAAAATTTCCTACATTTTTCCAACAATCAATCAAGACCAGGTATTACAATATTCTGAATAAATTTAATAAATTTTAAATTCTTCGTGTATATATCAAAAATATAATAATAGATTCAAAGATAGACCCCAAGAGCAATAGACGTGATAAAAATTGCTGCTATAATTCGGAATAATGAATGTCTTTTTTTCGATAGAGGAAACTTTTTCGACAACACGACGGAGACTCGTAGATAAAGCAAATGATCCTCCTCCGTCTTTCTTGCAGACGGAATGCCGAATTAGCGGGCTCTCCCGATAGGTAATCCGACGTTCGTGGACCTTCGCGGACGATGATCGTCATCCCGACGTCCACGTATGTCTTATTCGCCAAACGGGGGTCGAACAGAGGCTAGATGACAGATGCAGACTCTCTGCGCGCGCGTGCAGCATGCATACAGCAGCACCTCGAGAGCGAGGCCGGCGAGGGGGTGTCGTAATGGGAGTTGGTAACAAGGGGGTGGGGGGGAAGGGGGACGGCATGCGTCTCTAATTGCGACACCAAGGTCTTCTACGGACGGGACGATAGAGAAATAAAGGAGACAACGCAAGAGAGGGAAAACGATGACGGCGGGCTTTCGGTTATACTTGCCAATGGCGAGCGCAAGGCGAGCCGCGCGATGAAGCGCGCGCTCGCCCTCGCGCGTTAAAATGGCGCGCTCTCTCGGCGCGGCCACCCTTTCTGATCCTCGCGTAATCAACGACGATCCTCAATGATCACGAGACGATCACGACACCGCGAGCGAGCGGATGAGAGGGGAAACGATGACGCGATCTCGCCGGGAGAGCTCAGACGATCGTTCGACGACGATAAAAGCGATGCTGAACGAGCGAGTTTTGCGGCGACTCCTCGGCGACTCTTATTAGCGCAAAAAATGTTTTAAATTTATATTACGATAAATTTTTAGTACATATTGTAGGCAATTTTTTGTCATAATTTTTGTTTCATAATAATTTGGAATCAAAATCAGTCAAAGAGATCATTTCTTATGACTCGATTAATGAAAAAAGAACATCGTCGCGAGGAGCCTCGAGCCTCGAGTAGCTCGCCGAATGTCGATGATGAGGATGACGACGATGACGATGTGAACGATAATGAGCGGCTGCTGCGATGACGTACACTACAACCACGTAAACTCCTAACGACGCATGCAACATGCCGGACCTAAGATCCCATGCGAGTTGCACGACTCGAAGAGAGACGATGATCAAGACGATCATCATGAAATCGATCGGTCTATCTTATGCGATGATACTTTTCGCGCGTTTATATTTTCCACGCCTACGTCAACTGATTCATGATTCAATGATTGCGAGTAGATGAACACTATTCCGATGATCAGAGAGAATGATTTCATGACAACTCAAAAATCCACATTGAATCTCGAACGAGTATCTAGTGATAAGATGAATACGAAACTGATACAATTTATCAATGAAATACAATTTTCGTGTGGCGAGATCGACTACCATAGTTAAGAACTATAGTTTGCAATTTAATGATTTGAAGATGACGAGATGAGGCTAAAAATGTGAAATACATGGCAAAATGACTATGATGGTATTTAATCGATCGTCGTGTCGCATGGCAAGTATCGATGCATGTGAGTTGATGTGAAATAGTGCTTTAGTTTTTTTTTTAATTAGGAAATATATAAGGATAGGAAATTATTAGACAAGGAAAGGCCATAGAGAAGGATAAGAGATTTAATGAAAATATCATGGATAATATAAGCTGCAGAAAAACATAGGATTTTCTTTCTTTCTCTCTTTCCTTTTTTTTTTCTTATTCATGATTATCGTGATATGGTCCAAGATAATGTAATTACCTTTTTCGTTATTGTAATTTTGATTGATTAAAAAAATTAAGATAATTTGAATGCTCGATAATTTTCGTCGACATGATTTGATCTGAAGATATGATGTTATTAAAATAAAAATATAAACTTGCGACGAAAGTGGTTTACCAATATTTGACTCGTATGTTGAGATTTTTGCGTTTGGAATGCAAAATGCAGTCGTCTCATCCGCGAGTAGTCGACCTGCGCAAACAAATTTACATCCACCATTTAACTCCTTTATAAATTTATTTTAATTTCCTTCGTCCCCCCGCGACGAATATAAGCAAAGAAAAATTTCCTTTGTGATTAGCGCAAAAGCATTTGTCATAATCCCACGTTTGCGAAATCTTGAAATTATGTTGCTAGCAAAGCCATAATATCAGAAATACATAATATCAGAATTACATAATTCCAATTAAAATTATAAAATAAATATTTCTAACGTAAATATATCTACGCAATAATATTTTTAATGACGTAAATTTGAAAAGAAAAGTCTTTGCTCCAAAAAAGTTAAGTACAATATCAATTATACGTTATCTTTTTGTAAATTTTAACCAAAGTCGGTTCTGAAGAATGAAACGAGCTGCGATGGATGCGTCGTCGCAATATCGGCCAAAAATGCAGTCGGTCAAAAGAAAAGATAAAGAAAACAAAAGAGAATCGATCAATGATCTCTCTTCTCCTCCGTGTGAGATCTATCACGGATCCCGGTGAACTCTTGTATCATCTGCGAGGGTGTCGATTCTGCTGAGGATCTTAAGGAGGATCGGCTCCGCGATATCGCGGAAGAGGAGAGGTTGGCAACACGCGAAAACAAACTCTCCTCCTTACGTTTTTTCTTCATCACATTATTATTATCATCATCATCAGCAGCAGCATGGTTATAACACAGTTTTCATCATTATTATAATGCCAGTTTTTTTTTTTTTTTTTTTTTTTTTTATTTTTATTATCGCGAGAGTGTGTCTCCCGCCCGTCCCCGTTTGGGAGGCGCAGTCCGAAGAGGATCGTTCGTTTAAGCTTTAAAGATGAGGCTGACCTTGCGAGCGTGTGAAATTGTCGTCTCCAGGATATTCGTCTTTCGCACGGATGAGATCGCGGAACGTCGCCGAGGCAATGGGAAACGTTCGTGTTATCGGAGAACTCTCTCGGTTTCCCTACGGACCGTCTTCCCGTATCCCCTGATCATCAAGGTTCCATCCTCGAGACGATCGGGACAGTTCGGTAGGTCGAAGGGAAACGAGAACCGGGACTGATCGGGACTTATACCCGGCTTGATCACGCGCGGCTACATTTCGCGATTGTTACAATTCGGATCCGATCGATCGCTGTCAATTAGTCGTCGTCCCGATGTTCTTATTCTCACGTGGACGTGCCGGTCCGGATCCTGGCGTTATATACTCGAGTGTATCGCGACACGACGTCTTATGATCTAGAATCTAGCAGAGAGTAGAAAAATAAGGATTGTCACAACCTCGGAACGCGCGCACGCCTCGGCGGCAGTCGCGTCCGCCTCGACGAGCGAAAGGATCATTAGGAACATATCGAGCGTAATATGTTCGGAACAGAACGAGAACTTCTCGACGATCATCTGTGCCAGAAACACTCGACCCGACACATTATTCCGTGATTAAGCCAGGTACAGCCCGTAACACGCAATTTATCCAGACGTATCGTGAGGAGGAACGATGGCTGAACAGGGAAAGGGGTGTGCAGGATTAAATCGCTGTGAGCTACGAAAATATTATTTTCGGCGAAAGCGTCTGATATACTTTTCTTTTTTTTCCTTACCTACACACGCATCGTACACGCATACGCATCTTCACATATATATGCACATGTGAATACGTAGTCTTCATATACATATATACTTACAGATGCATGTGTATGTATGTATGTATATATATATATAAGTATATGTATATATATTTATATGTAACAGATCTCTCTATGTGTCATCTGAGTAATTTCTTTCTCCTTTAATAACATCTTCTTCTATCTTCGATCTTTCGCCGCACGTCCGCAAACAACCTCAACATTCATATAATAGACATTTTAGGATTCAACAATATTCTCGTAAATTCGCGATCTAAGGCCTAAGAATTTTAGGTGTACGCATGGTTTTTCTAACCGCGTCATAATAGAAGCTATCGAAATATACACGACTTTCTCGTTAACTTTCACATCCGGAATCCTCACGTACCAAGTCTCCCTCTTGTCTCGCGCCTCTTCAATGATGCTTTTCTCACATGTGTCACTGGCATCCGGTGGATGTTCTTGAATAATCGGAGTAGTCGGTTTTTCGGACATTTAATCGAACATTAAATATACATCCAAAATATATCAAGATATCTGTTCAATTCGTCGAATATTTCGGATATAATATCTCACAATATCCAGATTTTTGAATATTTTTTTATAATATCTGACTGTTATCTCGGACTTTAGAAAAGGAAATTTTAATAAACAAATTAATAATTTGTATATTATTTTATGTGTATAAAAAGGAATTTTTAAAAATACGATACGTAAATATCTTTAATAAGTTATTATATTTTGGCGATTAGATTTTTTAAATGAAAAATAATATTTTAACGTTACTTGAGCTGTCAGTAACACTTGTAAATAATTTCATAGTAAAAAAGATTATGAAATCTAAATATTGCATGATGTCTTGGTATCCAAGAACATGTCTGATTACATCTGTTCTGTTCCACTTTCTCCGCGATTCGCGTCACGGGAGAAGATAGCCTTTCTCTTTCTTGCCCTTTGGAGGGATATTACCGGAAGTTAACGGAAGATCAGAGATCATCCGAAGGCTTATTGCGCTACAAACACAGAGGGATTCTCTGAGCGATGTATGAACATCTGTGTATTTGCAGGATGCAACTTGGGAATTCTTCGTGTTGGAAATGATCGCGTGTTGCGCGGTCTCGAAACAGAGCTCGAAGTGAAAACTTCGTTCGGGGAAGCGAAAACTTTGGACTTAACACGCACGCGTTTATCGGATTGCGTTTGTTTCTTCGGCGAAGCTATCTAAACTTTTAGCGAATTTCTTAAGTTCATAATAGCTCTTCAGTGACTTACAGAATTATGACTGTCGTAAAATATCTACGTCAGTATTGTGCGTACAAGTGTCGATTTTATCGATAGATGTCGAGCTGTTAAAATTTCTGAAATCATTAAAATTTCTGAATCACGAATTTCTTAAACTCTTGTAAAACACGAAATTTTATGTGGCATATTATTGCGGTATA